AGCGCAAATGGCGAAAATATGTTAGTCTGCAGTAGTAAGGCACAGGTTCATATTCTTGACAGAACCGGCAAATCATGGGCCGAGACCATCCGAGGTAGGTGCTTTGTTTTTATTTCATTTTATTCGCACCTCTTGCGCAGTATATTTTCTAGAGATATTATCCATCGTATACCTTTTGCGTGAAACTTTCCCTTTTGCAATAATGTTTTGATGCTTGCTTATCTTGAGATTTGGGGCATTCTTAATTTATTTTGCAGGTGATCAGTATCTAGTCGATGTCAACTATACAAAAGGTCACACAGCATCAATCAACTGTTGTCAGTTCAATCCCTTTCACAAGGAGGAATTCATGACATGTGCTGATGACGGGTTAGTTTTTGGTGTACATAATATTTTTGTATTGCCTACAGCGTTTTATTTTTCAGAACTATCCGATTATGGAGTATGCGGGATTACAAAGTCATGACAAAAACTATAAACACGCATAAGAAGGTGCGTTTGAGAATCACTGACCTGTCATCTTGTAAGCTGCGTCATTCTAGGTCATCAAAACCAAGACTGCAAATGGCAAAAGAGCGATGCCACAATCATGCCGCTATTCCGTGGATGGAAAGTTGATTGCAGCTGGGTGTGACGATGGTTCGATACAAGTTTGGAAATATGGAAATCTATATGTAAGTACTCGACCTGTTGATTTGTTTTCTTTTCTCTGACTTCGAGATAGTTTTGGAACTTTTCTACAATGGATTTCATCACAGATGTTTAGTCTTTGTAATAATGACTTTATTGAATTTGCTGTTCTACTGCGAATGCATATAGCACCCCTAAAATCTCACAGATAAGTCCGCTTTTTTGACTCAGATAGAAGCCTTCAGATAAGTCCGCAATTATCTGTAGGCGCACTTACCTGATAAAGGACTTATCTGCAGGATTCTTGGCAGCGCACGCGTGCATTTTCATCAATTTTCCTTGTCGAAAGCGGACTTATATGTAAGATTTCAGGG